TGCCAATGGTCAATCCATCACTGGAAGCTGAGCCAACACTGATGGTTGACGCGGTGCCAACACGGGAGATGCCAATGGTCAATCCACCACTGGAAGCTGACCCAACACTGATGGTTGACCCAGTGCCAACGCTGGACATGCCAATGGTCAATCCATCACTGACAGGTGTCTCAGTGCCAACACTGGAGATGCCAATGGTCTGTCCATCACCTGGGACCAATCCATCACCAATGGCCAATCCATCACCAGTGGAGAGTCCAATGTTGATAGCCAACATGGTGCCAATGGTGGAGATGCCAATGGCCAATCCATCACCAGTGGCCAGCCCAGTGCCAACACTGGAGATGCCAGTGACCGATTCATCACCGATGGACAATCCAATGCCAATGCCCAACCCAGTGCCAATGCTGGAGATGCCAATGGCAAATCCATCACCAATGGCCAATCCAACACTGATGACCAACTCAATGCCAACGGTGGAGATGCCAATGGCCAATCCATCACCAATGCAAGATCCAATGCCAATGGCCAACCTAATGCCAACAGTGAAGATGCCAATGGCAAACCCATCGCTGATGTGAAGATGCCAATGACCAATCCAATCCCAAAGGCTGATCCAACACCAATGACCAATCCATCACCGATGGACAATCTATCCCCAATGGCCAATCCAATACCAATGGCCGACCCAATGCCAACACTGGAGATGCCAATGGTCATGCCATCATCAGAGACCAACCCAATCCCAATGGCTGATGCAACACCAATGGCCAACCCATCACCAATGACCAATCCATCACCAGTGGCCAATCCATCACTTATGGCCAATCCAACACCAATGACCAACTCCATGCCAACGGTGGAGATTCCCGTGACCAATCCAACAGCAATGCACGATCCAATACCAATGGCCAACCCAATGCCAACACTGGAGATGCCAATGGTCATGCCATCATCAGTGACCAACCCAATCCCAATGACTGATGCAACACCAATGACCAACCCATCACTAATGACCAACCCATCACCAAAGGCCAACCCATCACCAACAGCCAGTCCAATACCGATGACCATCCCAATGCCAACACTGGAGACACCGACGACCAACCCAACGCCAGAACCTGCCCCACCCCCAGCTCCCAACCCAACACCAGGCCC